AAATATATATATATATATAATATATTATTATAAAATATATGTATATAATATTATATATATTTTTTTTATTTAAATTTATATAATATTTTTATATTATTTAATAGATTATTATATTCAATAGATTTATATATATATATATATATATATATATTATTTTTGTTGATTTTTTCAAATTTAAATAACATTAAAAATAAATTTACTTTGAACGAAAGACTTTTATAATTGATCAATCGATTTCATAATAATAATTTATAAAATGATGTGTTGAAATTATTAAAAAAATATTACATTCAAATTTGAAATATAGAAATAAAAGAAAGAAAAAAAAGAGTTTAATGTAATTTTTACTTACACAAATAGTTTACATTCTGATATTAAAGAGATCAAGAGAAAATTGACTGATACCATGCTCGTGCAATTCTCACGTGGCATATAACGGTTATTGTATATGTATTGGTGTGCACAAACATTGACAGGAAATGAAAAAGAGGAGGAGTTAAAACAACGATAATAATACTACCAAGTAAGCGTTATAACCAACCAGTTTATGTTTGTTAGTGCTCGATTATTTTAGTAGTTTCATTATATTCAATAATTCTATTCAATTGAATCTACGAAATCATGATTATTAATGTTAATGTTGCATTAAATTGACAAAAATTAATTTAAATAATATAAATATTTCAGAACACACACACACACACAGACACAAAGGTAATATTAAATGAAAAATTTTAAAATGAAATTTTATAATATATTTCGAAATAAAAAACTATATGAAAAATAAATATGAACAAAATTTAATTGCAATATTTTTTTTTTTTATCATTGTAATAAAAGTTATAATAATGTATATGTATATATTAATATTATTATATCTGAAATAAAAATTAGTTGCTTATTTGACTAAATATTATATATGTACAACAACTAACTCTTTAATTATATTATAACTTTTATTATATATATTATATATTTAATTAAAATTTATATACATATATATATATATTAATATTATTTTATCTAAAAAATAAAAATTAGAATATAATTAAAAATAGTTGTTTATTTGACTAAATATTATATGTTTACTTACTTCCTTCTATTACAGCCATATTGTTGAATAAAACACTTGAATAATTTATAATATGAAATTCTGGATTTTTTTTTTTTTTTTTTATATATATATATAAATATTATATACAAAATTAAAATGAAACACTTAGTTTACCGACGAAGAGTTAACGTCCTTATTCTTTCAAAAAGTTAACAGAAATGAAGAGGATACTGGTTAGCAGTTCCACTCTTATATGTACGAAGATTGCCGAACATGTCCGATTCTTTTCCGACCGAACCTGTATAAGCGGACATTCCAGGAAAGTTTTCTTTTAATCATTATGATTTTGCAGACAACCAATGTGTATATATATATATATATATGTGTGTGTGTGTGTATATATATATATATATATATATAATAATTAAGTAAAACAAAATGTCATGATTTTAAATATAACCTTTTTGACATTTGTAATTTTTTTCACCAACTAATGAACTAATAATAAAAAAAGTAACTTGAAATAGATAGAAAAAGAAAAAAAAAAGAAAAGAAGAAAAAACAAAGAGAAAGACAAAGTTTGAAATTAAAACATTATATTCTAAATAAACGAACAAATTTTATATTATAATGTCCTATTATAGAATAATTATACATTAAGGTATAGTTCATTAATGTAACGTAACGTTTTAATCGATCGAATGATTATATTCTGACGATTTTTGAAAGTTTTACGTAAAAGAATATCTTTATTTAGAAATATATTCTCCCTACCGTTAAATATTAACGTAATAGTACGTATACACTGTTTAAACAATTGATAAGTATAATTATACCAGTAATATCAATTTTTTCCGAAATATTAAAACATAATTTGATTGAAACAATATTAAAATGACACTTCATTTTGATATAATTATTTTTTTTTTTTAAGTAATACTTTCACACTCACCGGTTGCTCAATCTTGTTCTGTTTATAATATGATAAATCAGCTAAATGTTAATTCGATGATAAACAAATTATTCAATCGAATAACACAATATCGACGATTTATGAACAATATTAAATATCACGTACTAATAAATGATTAAGAAACATTTCAATCGGTTCTTTTATATAAACTGAGATCAGTCATCGTTTTATGCTTGGACTCTGAGCTCCCAACTTTTTTTCATTCGATATAATCGTACAATAAATAATTTTTTGTTTATTTCTACCTATATATGTGAATAAGTTAATAATGTCAAGTGCATTGATAATTATATAGCTTTCATTAAAAAGAAAACAATATATATATATTATAAAATAATAATATAAATATAATATATTATAAAATAATAATATAAATATAATATATTATAAAATAATAATAAAAATATAATATATTATTTATTATATATATTAATATATAATATATTATTATATTAATATATTATACTTTATAATTATATATAATAATAATATATTAATATATTATAGTATATATTATAATATTATATATTATAATAATATAATAATTATATATATTATATATACGTTATATATAATATATTATATATTATAATATATATTAATATATA